CTAGAGAGCATATGAGCGGCGGCCACAACCCCCCCCATGTGGGATTTGATGTAAACATGAAAGTAATGATGGGTCGCGTCGGCTTTTATGGTGTGCGCGATAGTTCGCCTCAGCAAAACATGAACATTCTCACTGCGATAGTCTTTGCGACAGCAGATCGCCTAGCTTTGCATCTTCAAAAACANNAAAACAAGGTTCCCATTGTGGCTGCGTCAGTGAAGTGAGGTTTAATAGCCTGAAATCAAACCGCGATAGTTCGCGTCAGTACAGTTCGACAAAGATTCATCCGTGTCAGCTATTCCTTGGGCGCGTCAGTATTGCGACTGGCGTCCGCAATAGCGCAACTAATCAGAACAAAAGGTTCAAAGGGTTTAGGCCACAGCTTATATATGGTAGTTAATACGGTTTCCCCGATAGTTTACATTAAGTTCCTGAACAGCAACCCACTTTTGAGGATGCTCCACTGGAGCAGCACTTCTGTCGGCATCCAGAGGACTTCTTCGCGTGGCGCCGCCCAGAATTGTTGGCTCTTGGGGGGCGGAGGGGGTTGGGGGCTTACGAATTATAACCAGACAAGACCTATACTTTCTCATCATTACCCCTTTATGGATAGCACATTCTATAGTTCCACGTGCCGAAGTACCCTACTAGATTAGATAACGCCTCTGGGCCTGAGCAGGGATGAGGCTGCCGGGAGACTGGAAGGTGGCTTCGTATGTAATGGAAGGATTTAGAACTGCGGTCTGCCTTGGATATCCAAAAATGCAAGGGGCTGTAATCTACAGATACCCATAGAAACCATAATTTGGGCAACCCACCCAATCCCCTCCCAAGAAACTTCCGACAATATCCTATGGTACTACGTGGGGAAGAGCCTCTTTGTTTGAGGGGGGGCGTCAATTAGGGCTTTGGGCTTGTTTTGTATGAGGTGCTGCTTCTTGGACAGGCGGAACACACGTGAACAGTGAAAATTGTTCGATGCAGAACAAAGCCTGTCGCCCCATGTGTGAGTTACCGATAACAATTCAAACCCCAGATGGTTTTCGCAAGAAGTTCCAGCAGGACGAGTGCACGTCTCTACCGGAAGTCCGGGAGAAAGTCAGGATTGTTCAGGAGGCATTTCTGACAGCAGGTGCTTCTCAGTACTTGCTCGTCATCAACCTTTACAGACATCACATCCTATAGCTCCTTACAACTACTACAGGGATGCCATGCGTGTCTTCCATGTCAAAGATTCCAACTAAGGGTTTCGAGACCGAGGCATGCATGACGAATTTGACCGCAACAAGCCCAAGTGGCCCGAGATGTGTCGCCAGTATTTAGGGTTCTGGATTCTGGGTTTAAGGTTAAGGGCTTCAAAATTTGCATCATCTAGAGATCTACATGGCCTGACAAAATGTTGTTCATGTAGTTGGCTCTGGGAAGGCGTTAAAAGACTGTCCTGCCTGTAAAGGCTCAAGAGCCTCGTGTCCAAGTATTCACTTAAGTCCCCGCCCACATGCTACCATATGTCTACAGAAGTCATGCCTTTCAACGGTAGAATCCTAAGCAACTACTAATATCATCCCCGTATCACTTTGATCTCTTCAGTACCTTAAACGCCAAGCCCCATCCTGTCTATTTAGGCTCCTACCCTATGCGAAACATGGAATCTTGTTTGTGGCCAGGCGCTCCATCGAGGCTGGCTTGGTTTGATGACATGTGAGCTATAGTCTAAAAAACGAGAGGTTACATAGGGGATTCTATAGGGTTGTAGGGGATTTCAAGGGGGATACTAGGAGTTCGGACTACAGCTCATGTCAGTAAAGGTGTCCTCCGACTTGCGAACTCAGATGTTTCGAGAAGACGGTGCTAAAGACGATGCTAGAAGCGGGGCTTTCATTAAGTGCAATCCGCATGCAAAGCATACCCGACCACCCATTCAACAATGATTTCCGAAATTCCTGCATCCATGTTGAGAATGATTTGTACCAGGCGCGCCTACCGGACACTTCCAATGAGCTCCTCTTGAAGGCGGGAGCAGGAGAGGAGCAGAGAGCTTCAGAAGAGTTGCCTTACTGCAGTGGGTACCGGTGAGCTATCCCTACTCATCAGGGGTAGGTTTGGAAATATTTCTTAATTGTTACTACCCATAACCGCTAAGTAATCTTTATAAAGCCATAAAGATTTGATTCTTATACGGCCCCCAAACCGTAGTCATTGTAGCATTTCCGAAGCTTGTTGACGAGGGTTGTCACCCAAGAAACCCAGCCGTAAACCAAGATTCAGTACGAATTCCTCGGGGTGGAAGAGCCTGTCAAAAGCCAAGTTGTGCTTGTACCGCGGCTAGAACTTACCCAGGCCTTCCACTGTAGTTTTTTCCATAGAAAAATCCTCAACCAAACAACTATACTAAAGAGTAGCTACATCCGAGAGTCCAGGTACTCTAGGTCCACGTCTTACATTGGACAGTTTTAGGAAATAACGGCCAGTGCATTGCCGGAATACGGACCAATCGCAAGCAAGGCTTGTAGCGGCCGATTCCGTTGCTTAGCGAGCAGGCCTACAAACAATTGGTAGTTTCCCAAAATAGGGGGATCCCAATATAGAACCCAATATGCTATAATCCTTATTATGGGGACCCCCAAAGTGGTACCCGTAATTTTTGGAAACCCTAATCCCTATAATCCCCTGCATAATCCCAGTTTCCATGTCATTTTCCATATTCTTTTCCATTTGATTCTCCGTTATAGTAGGTACCCCTAATTTTGGGAAACCCCCAAACCCTAAACCCTAAACCCCATATAAGCCCTATATATTCCCATAGAACCCCTATAACCCCCTTTAAAGGTACCCCTAATTTTGGGAAACCCCCAATTGGAATTTCAGCTGAGAGCCTGAGGAATCTGAAGCTGAGGCCCAACCATGCCCAACCACATTGACATGGGTTCTATCTAACCCTTGGCATGGTTCTTGTAAAGCAGGCGCATGATACATTCACAGTTTCAATCTGCCACACTGCTACACATGTGCATGGAGAATAAAACTCAAAAATGAGATTGCAGGGGCATGTGCTTTGCGCAGCTGCAGAGCTGGCGCCATTGTCGGAGGCTGAAGCTCGCAGGCGGGTGCGCTGCAAACTGGAATGCAACAATGTAACACGCTGCGGTCATGCTTGAAGTGGCGGTCGTGTCGTGGGAGTGGTGGTGTCAAAGGCGGCCAGGCGGTGACAGTGACAGCGAGGTGTGGTCATGGTGGTGCTGTTGGCGGCAGGGGTGGCGGAGGCGGTGGCAGCGGTATCAGAAGTAATGCAGGAGCATAATTGAAATTACAAGTGGGAATACATCAGCCGTGCTGCGGGTCTCTGTGCATTGGTACCATCACATACTCAGACGATGTTCAACCAGTGGGAAGCGCTTCTAGCTAGGCCATGCTGTCACTTCTGTACGACTACTACAGAGGCTTAAATCATGACCAGCACTATGGTCTCAGCACTACGGTCTTATGCCTTGTCAGCTACGTATAGGGTACCTCAAATACAGCTGGACAAGATTCAAATCCTTCAAGTTTCAACATTACTTCTCTCTTGAAGTTATTGGGGCACGGTGAGACCATCTTTACTTGTTTATGATCAAGAGATCAAAGATCCTGCCCCTTTCACATTTCCTAATCCTCTTTTTGCGTTTCTAGGTTTTGAGGTTTGAAGCCGCATGTATACAGCCCTGACAACAAGGATGGCTGTCTGAACCCACACCTCGAATTCCAAGCCATGGAATGCCTGGTTGGCTCGAAGGTGGGCCTTTCCCAGCCAGCATTTCCTTGAGAATTGTCAATGGGGAACCAAGGACTGGAAAAAAGCCGGAAACTACTGTGTCCCTAAACCCTAAACCTTAAACCCTAAACCCTAAACCGGAACTACTGTGTAGTATTGGGCATGGCATTGGGGCTGACATAGGACTCCATTCATCCAAGCCCTACTAATATCCGCTTAAGTGTAAGGCACATTTTTGAGTGGACTGAACCTGAAGGAACGACAAGCAGCTTCCGACCCCATTGAAACAGTGGACTGGTATGTGCATGCGATCATATTTACAGTTGTCCAAATGATTCAAAGAAGGTATTGCTCATAGACTTTAGCGCCCACTCGGGGAAGCATTCGTAGACGTAGAGCCTCACAACAAGCCAGGCAACCTTAAGCCTCAACCCCTACAGCCTTTCACCCGTAAGCCTTCATGCCTCTTTCTTTTTGAGACGTCCTCCTTATCCCCCTACTCCGGGACAACCGCAGCGGAAGCCATGTCGCTGGGTCGTTTGGATCGCGCCGGCTCGCTGCTTTTGTCCACGGAAGAGGGAAGCCAAGGCTAAGCTGACTTTAAGGGTTTAGGGTTTAGAGG